CTGAATGTTTATGTCTCCCCAAATTTTTATGCACTGAATGTTTATGTTTCCCCAAAATTCATATGTTGGGATTTCATATGAAATCCCAATCCCCATTGTGATGGTATTAGGAGGTAGGGAGGTAATTTGGTCATGGATCTGGAGTCCTCTTGAATAGATTTAGTGCCCTTAAAACAAGACCCCAGAGAACTCTCTAGTCCTCTTCCTACCATGTGAGGTTACAACAAGACGATGGCAGTCCTGCAGCCTGGAAGAGAGCCTTCACCAGAAACCGACCATGCTGGCACCCTGATATGAGACATCTGGCCTTCAAATCATTGGGAAATAACTTTCTATTGTTTATAAGCCACCCAGTCTATGGTACTTTGTTATAACAGCTGAACTAAGACAGAAATTTTGTAAAAATTAATTTTTATAAATCACAATCATCTTTTCCCCCTTTCTTGCTTAATTTTCATTACTTCCAAGTGCATAAACATCTATATTTTTCTTTTCCCTCCTTTTGGCTTCTTATTGACTTTCTATCATGTTTCTAAATACTTATTTTATCTAAAACATCATGTAGATATAGTTTTCTTTTCTTTTCCTATCACAAAAAAATGCACTGGTGAGAACGTAAGTGAAGTCATGTATGATTTATTTGTTTATTTATTTTTGAGACAGAGTCTTGCCCTGTCACCCAGGCTGGAGAGCAATGGCACGATTTCGGCTCACTGCAACCTCCAACTCCAGAGTTCAAACGATTCTTCTGCCTCAGCCTCCTGAGTAGCTGGGATTACAGGCACCCACCACCATGTCCGGCTAACTTTTTGGGGTATTTTTAGTAGAGATGGGATTTCACCATATTGGCCAGGCTGGTCTCAAAACTCCTGACCTCATGATCTGCCCGCCTCAACCTCCCAAAGTGCTAGGATTACAGGCGTGAGCCACCGCGCCTGGCCATAAGTTTTATTTTGAATCCTACTTCTTCGCCCACTCCTCTACCCAACCCCCTTAGCTTTACCACCATCACTTTTAACTCTTTACCCCTCCCAGGTGTCCAGGGTGTTCCATGTATGCTATAGATAGCAATGAACCTCAGAAATTCTGTGCAGTACAATGGCTCCGAATGTGTTATCTGGAGTCAAACTACTGCTATCAATTGTAGAATGTAATAAAAATACCTTCTTCATCTTATTATTAAGAAGCTTACATGAGTTATTGCTTGTTATGTGTTTAGAACAGTGTCTGTAACATAGTAAACACAGTACAGGTGTACAGCTCTTATTATTAACTAGTGTTTTCTGTATCAAACTGTATCTGTTCCTTGTGCCATTATTCTAGGGCCTTTTGTATAATTTTGAAAGTATTAAGATGATGAAAGTAGCATAATATGTTCATGGATCTAAATGGTTTAAGATCTTATTCCAATCCAGGCAATGTATCTCTATTTCAACATGAGAGCTATAAAGCCGTTTAACTAAAAGAGATGTGCATATTTTTTGCTACTCTGGTGAAGATATTTTTTAAGAAAATGGGCCTCTGAGGTTTTTGATACTCAGTTGAGGTGACCACTCCACATTTAATGTCTAGAGTTTTTTTTCTCATTACATCTTTCAGTCAGCTATCTTTCCTACCCCCAGATGGCAACATTTTATTTTGAAAGTTTTTAAACATACAACGAAGTTGAACAATTTTATAGTGAATACCCTTATTTCTACCATTCCTACTATAGAGTCCTATAATTTACACTGTCATTTTTTTTCCTTTCCTACTACAAATAATAGTAGTGTGCAGTATGTACATCACTAGATTTAGTTGTAGTAGGGAAGGAAGCGAAGAACACAGGCTTCACCTTCAGAGACCCGCATCTGAGTCCCTTTTCTTGGCTTCCAGTGGTATTCCTTGGGTTAATTTCTTAACCTGCTAGTATTTAGTCTCTTTGTCTGTAGAATGCGAGCAATAATATTGACTTTAAATTGTTGCTGTGATGATTTAGCTTAACCGCGTAATAGACACTTGGCAAATGTTATATCTCTTCTTTTTTTGTATTTTTGCATTATTTATTGTAGTCATTTTGGAAATAATTACACTCCGGATCCATGGCCTTTTTTTAGTGTTTTCTGTCTACCACATTCATAAAACAATTGACACAACTGATTCAAACAAGCACGTGGGAAACTAGATTTTGTGGTAGCTTATTGTGGGTCGATTCATTTTGATTGTATACTTTTATGACCTTCA